GTTTATGTGTGTGTGTGTGTGTATGTTTATGTGTATATATGTGTGTGTGTGTGTGTGTGTGTGTATAAACAAACTTTGGAAACCTTTGGGACTGCAGACAACAGAAAAATCAGCTATGGGACTTTGTATAAATAAACTGCCATTTCCTCATCAAACAGTCCTGTCAGGCATGAAGGTTAAAGCAGATAAGAAAGGAAAGCAAGAATTTCGAGAAGGTGCAGAGGGAGAATTCGTGACGTAAACACTTGCTTACCATCATGGTGGAAGCTCCTGATAGTATTCGCGCGGCTGGCAGATCTCTCCGAGGCTTTCCCTAAGGAGCCCTTGGGTCTGTTGTTGTTGTTCTGCTCCGCGTTCACCGAGTGCATCGAGTACAAGTCCATCATGTATTGCGGAACCACAGCAGACCTGCTGGGACTCGGTCTGTGTTTGAGTCCAAACATGCTCAGAAGTCGAAGTTCAAACGCGTGTAGGACGTCCTGAGACAGAGAGGACCGGCCGATCTGGGGAACGAGTCCACTAGAGCCTCTAAAGAACACCTGAGTGACCATCAGAACCATCAGAGCGCAGCCGGAGGAGACCATGATCGCGCTAAACCTGACAGATCAGTGACTAACGAGATCAGATGGGCTCAAGCCAGGAGATGTGACCATATTCCGTGTTTGATCGAGCCATTGCGAGAGTTTGGAGGATCCTTCGTGCATCAAAGCCACCTTAAGAGCCGCTTTAAAGAGGAACGCAAACCTGCGCTAGATCCATTCGGATAGAAGCTCCATGAGCCAAAGCCTGTCATAATAATAGATTTGCGCTCTTAAAATAACACAACGCGTAAAAGTCGGACTAATAGACGTAAAAACTCGCGGACATTCGAAGTTAAACGCAAAATCTCTAAACCGAGTGCATTCGCGACCGTCTCCGTAGGTGTACAAGTGCAGGACCTTCAGATAAAGTCCAGTTTAAACTCCAAAGCGCAGCTGGTCTTCTGTTCATGGCACATGAGATGATCAACGCAGTCTTATGGGGTCTTCACATAAAGCTGCTCCTCTTTTATAAATCCCCGTTTCACTCAGCTCCATTTTAGAGATTACCAAATTAAAGCTGTTTATCTGAAGAAAACAGTGGGAGATTTCCACAGGAACGCCCGCCTCTTCTTACACATATTCAACCGTCACCGCTGTACAAAGACAAGCCGTAGGTGTTGAAACGGAGGGGTGTACGCGTATAAAAGCCCACTTCATTGACAAAACAAAAGTTTCTTCCTTGGCGAGGAGCGAAACAAGTCGCGGCGAGGGTTTGGGTACGTGTGTGTCCTTTACGCGCAGTGCGCAAGTGTGCAACAGCGTCTCTCTCTTTCTCTCTCCTCGTGTGTCTTTGTTTAACTCTCTGATGTCATGACAGAATTCATCAGCTCTGGACATGGTGTTCATGTGGAGAGATGCGCCTTTGGAGAGCTCAGAGATCATCTAATTAAGTAGCCTAATTGGGGAAAAAATTGGAAGTTTCTGCTTTATTCGATTCCATTTAGGGTTATTAACTTTAATAAAACATACTTGGTTCATACTCGTTTCATTTATTTTGGCTTATAATTCAATTAATCATTACTCTATCATTTAGAATATATTTAGATACCAAATATTTAAAAGTAACTTTAAATTAAAAAAGGACGCTCACTATAGCGCTCATATTCGGAGTCAGTGCGCCAACTTGTGGCAACGACGGTTAATGTGAAGCAGGAGACCGAGGCTGGTCACACTTTTTTTGCTCCAGCGAATATTTCGTAGGGTGGGGTAAAAGTTAATTTCTGTGAAAACAAACATTAAAAAGTCTATAAAAATTATATATAAACCATAACATGGAGCAATATTCCACAACGGGAACCTGCCATTAAAATGCCTATTCAATATTTCCCAGGATGGGACAATTATGAAAACGCAAAAATGGAAGAGTTAACGAATGTACAAGTGTAAAATTGATTTGCAAATACATCATATAGAATATGACAAATACATACACAAATATAACATATATATACATATATATAAAATGTCATATAAAATATGTAAGCAATATTTTATATGCGAACGCATATAAATCTAGGACTTTTTATTTTTTTAATAAATCTACCTAAATTTCAGCTACAGGTGTATTTTTATTTTTTATTTTTTTGTTTGCAGTTTTGTTCACTTATTTACACAAGATATAGATTTTAAAAAAAATAGTTTGGAGAGCCAAATTCAGCAAAACACTCTAATTTGAGACTAGGAATTTCATTTGTCCTCATGATATGAAATATATACAGATTGTGATCCAGGTCCAATACATCAAAACATTAACATTTCACAGGTCTAAAATATTAAAAACCATTTAAGTTATGTTAGAGAAAAGCAAAACGCAATTTATTTATGTAACAGGTCAGTCTTGTGCATCCACATTCTCCCATCATGCCCTCAATTTCTCAGAAGAATCAAATTATTATTGTTAAACAAGTATAAAGCACCATTAACCATTTTAATATGTTTGAGAAACATTCTTTTGCATTTAAAATGAATTCGAGTTCATCTGCATCCACACTCATCCACCACCATGTCTTCATAATGTCTCAGAACCACATTATCATTATTGTCATAATACAGCATGGAGATGGGGGACAGTTTGATGGGAACGCAGCAGGGCTGAGGCGTCCCTTTGGGATCAAACGAATGGACCAGCGTCTGCAGGATGGCGTGGTTGGTCCCGTTCAAACTTTCACTCAGAGGGAAAGGACACTCTCCGTGGCAGTAATTGGCCAAATACCCCTGAGGCGCAATGATCCAGTCCTGCCAACCCACGTCTTTGAAGTCAATGTAAAGCCTTCTGGGTTTGCACACGTTACTGGGCGTCACAGGTAAGTAATACGCCGCACTTCGCTTTCTCCTGGACCTGCATTGAAGCGGATTCAACGACACCACCACTAGAGACGTGTACAACTCTGGCATCCGAGCAACTTGGATCAGTGAATGTGTGCTTTCCACGTATGCATGCTCCTGAAGCATGTTGCTCAAGCTCGTGAGCTGCAACTCAACTTGCATCCCGCAGTTCTTACCTGGCTTTCTCCAGGTTTCGGCCAGTTCGGTCAGATTGACATGCACAGAAGCATGCACACCAGGCCCGAGCGACTGAGACGGGAGTAATTTACGGCTGGACTCGTGAGTCACTCCCTTCAGAGTGGTCCTCAAAACCCTGTACAGGTCCACGCTGAAAACATGCGGTCCCAGGTGAGCCAGATCCTGTTTGAACTTCATTTCCAGCTGCGCAAGGGAGAGTTGCTCAACATCCTCCAGCACCGACATGTTGAAAAACAGATGCTTTCTCACACAATTAAAGCAGTGGACGGCCGGAGCAGATATCAGACTACCTGTTTGGGGAAAACAAGCTTTGTGTTATGGTGCAAGTGGGTTATTCCTTTTCCGCAGAACCTTTTGAACGTAACGTAAAAAAGGATTATAATTTAAAAGCAAGACACCACAGGTGAATAGGGTACAAAAATAATTAATAGATATTACCAGACTTTCCCAGTTGACTGATTACATTAAAAAACGGCTAACTTTTTTGTATTACAAGCTTCCCAAAATGTTGTTTAAATATGCCAATGAGGCATTATCTAATTAAACATATGCTAATTTGCATAACATTCCAGAACAGAAATCTGAGCATTGGATAAATTGTCATTTTGCTGACATATTTAAAGGATTTACAGAGGGGATTTTGGATTTCTCTTTTAAATCGCTGCATAAATAAGAAAATACTGTCACCAAGTATTTAAGAATGAAATGTTGTAAAAAAATAAATAAAATAAAATAAAAAAACAGGTGCCTGATATATGAACAAACCCTTCTGTAAAAACATTCAGAATACGGGTAGGAATAAAACTGTACATTTTGGTGTATGCAACTGCTGCTGAAGTGGAGATGAAACGTGTTTTGAGAAAACGGCCTTCGTACTGTAATTATAATCTACAGATGCAAATAGATAAAGTGCAACAATAAAATCAGGTAAATTAAATATGAACAAACCCTGCTATAAAAACTTTCAGAATGTAGATATTTTGTAAGTGCTACTGAAGTAGAGAAAATCAATTTTGAGAAAACAGCTGTTTTGTAAATAAAATCTACAGACGGAAGTAGATAAAGTTCAATAGAATAAAAACTTAAATATGTATTTTGGATGTTTTCTTACTACTATAAAAAGTAGCAAATTATGAAAAGCCAAACAGGCCAAAATCTCAAAATTGACCAATGCATGAAAAAAATGTTTTTGCATGTAGTGTCTTGCCTAGTTATTTCTATAAAAGGGCATAAGGGACCTCCAAAAGTTTTTTTGCATTTTAATTACAATTTTATTTTAAATTCTTAATTAAATTAAAAACACTGCTGATACTTAATAGTGTTTGCACAGTTGTCCAACCGGCAATAATGTCACTTCCTGGAGGATGACGTCAAAGAAACTGGATTGTAAAAAGACTAACATGATGGAAAAACTAAACTGATTACTAAGAAAACATGCTTTTGAAAGGAAAATATAAGAAAGAACATGGCGTAACTTTAACTTAAAATTCACTAATTTATTGTGAAAATTGTGGGGGAAAAGATAAGTTCTTTAAAAAATGTTTCTTAAACTCCCCCCCCAAAAAAATATGGCATATGATGGGGAAATATACTGCATACTAAAACCTAAATTCTCAAGGTCTCACCTTGATCCTGGATGAACCTCACGATATTTCCTCGGACTCCGTACTCAGACACCACACATGGACCTGTGTCCAGTGTTGAGGTCTGTTTGCTGCCCTTCTTGAACATTTCCCACAGCAGAGACGGCACTGGAGCCTGATGTGACGGTTTCGGTCGACTCGAGAGACCCATCGAACTTAAAAACAGCTTTTCTTGCACATTAACATTTTCTGTCTATAAAAGTAAGAGAAGAGACACTTAACATTAAAAACAAGAGCCTGAGAATCACACAGACCATCATTAATGTGAGCAGCACAATCAAACAGAACTCACAGCTCAGACGGAGCTTTTTAAACAGCCGCCGATCAGCTTCAGATGAGCAGCCAGACGAGTGAGGACTGACACCTGTGAGGTGATTGGTGGAGATGGACTGTGGGGGGCAAATCATTGATATGCTAATTAATGGCAGCTTGTCTTTGATGTTTATAGGGGAACAGATCGACATACTGTCACAAAGTGCTACATTTTTCCATAGATTTTTTGAATTCATAATGATTTTAACATTTATTTTTATAGATTTCATTCAAAAACACGGATAAAGCACAAAAAGTGCCAAAACATACGGCATAGATAGTTTAGGGGTGATCAGATCGTGCTGTAAATCAGTTGTGATGTGCATTTGACGTGTAAACATGGTTACATTGTCATTCTGACACAATGCTACAATTAAAAAAAAAACACTGAAAATGTGAAATTTTGAATTTGAAAATATGAAATAGTACTTTCTTGTAAAATTGACTCCTATAATCTTTATTTACAACTTTTTTTTTTTTTTAACTTTTTTTTCCAGTGTATAATGCTTTAACAAACATAAAGATCTTACAAAAAGTACCATGTTTTTTTTTTTTATGTAACATGAAAATTATATGTATATCATGGTAGTGGAACAAATACGTATACATATGAAAAAGAAAAGAAAGAGCGAAATATAAATAATAAAAAGAAGAGAGACTAAACATATAACTGATCTTTTAAATGTTGATTAATAAGTTACTGATTAATGAGTTATTGTGCTTAAACTTTTTTTTAAATTTAGTATTTCTAAGTTGAATTTAATAATCAACTCTCTTACTGTATGACAACTATTGACTATTTTTTTATCTTTTTTTTTTAGGTCAGCTCAGATCATTTGATCTTGGAAGAATTCGATGAGAAATGTTTGTGTTTATCTCTGCTTTTGATTGCTGACCTTGGTTTTAATTCTGAGCACAATGTGACACATCACTATTAAAATACTAGAGTGAAAAAAAATATCTGTCTTTTTCATGTAAGATTAAACAAACAAGTTATTCTACTCTGATTAACCTCTGAATGTTTTGGTGTGGGTTTTGTGATGATAGATTTATGATCATTTTCACACTCATCAGACGGCAGCACTGTCTCTGTCCGTCTGTGCAGGATCCTTCCTCGGCATCAGAGTGTCCATGTTCTTCATCAGACACATTCCTCCAGTCATGTAAAGGCTCTGACGAGACACAATGGATTGATGCATCAGGCCGTTACTGATAACAGGTTCCTGGCTGAACTCTGGGGCGGCATTCCATCTGCTGAACTCCACTGAGTGACAAATGGACACTAGAAGCTGTAAACAGACCCTGGAGAGCAACGTTTTGGAGTTGACAGTATTCAATAAACAAACAAACAAACAAACAAACAAACAAATAAACAAATAAACAAATAAAGGTGATTATTAGTAATAACAAATAAATAAATAAATAAACAACATATATTAAAAAAATAATAATAATAAATAAATAAATAAAATAAAATAAATTGTATAAATATATATTGGAATGAAGTGACAAGTTTTGTAAACTGACAATATATAAATTAAACATTAAATATTTTACATAATATTACAAATACTACTACTACTACTACGAATAATAATAATATATGATAATGATAATAATAATAATTCCAAAAATAAAATAAAATATTTTTTTTTAATTAAAAAATAATAATTAAAAATATTTAAATTAAATGAAATATATTAAACATTATAGTAAATAAAATAAAAAAAAATGATCCAAAACACATTGATGATGATGATTATGCATAATAATAATAAAAAAGAAACAGTATATAAAAAATAAATAAGCTAAATTATATAAATATATGTGGGAATGAGATGACATTTAATATATTTAAAAAATATATAAAAGATAATTATATAGGATTTCCAAAAGAAATATATAAATATATATAGAAATTAAATGACACGTTTTG